GGGCGGCGGGGCGCTGAGCAGGGAGGTGATGCTGCCTGACGCCTGTGACTGTCACGCCGTGGTCGCTATTGTGCTGCGGTCGCTAATGTGCCTCTGTGGGGTCTGGGGTGCGTGAGGGAAACGCATGTGGGGGTCGGGAGCCCCCAACTGAACTTGAGTGTGCCGTGTGTCTTCTGTGGTCCACCTACCTGTGAACTGTGAGGGGAGCTTGTGATATGTCTTCTGTGAGGAGGGCGTCCGGGTTACCCCATGTGTGTTTAGGGGGACCGCGTGCCTTTTGAGGTGGGCATATAAGGTCCCTTAGTCGGCTGGGGCACCCCCAGGTGGGGGGGGGCAGTGGAGAGGGAGCTAATATCCGCTCGGGCCCTCCGCATCCTGTCCTGCCCAGCTGTCTCCTCCAGGGACACCTGATAGTATCTGTCCCTTCCGAGCTCCTAGGTCAGGGCCTTTCTGGGTCAGGGAGCTTTTAAGGCCTGGGCCCAGGTGTCATCGCACAGAGGGCTCGTCACATGACACCATCCCTGTGTTTCTTTCCCGTGCCTAGGGAAAAATGGCAGGAACAGAGCCCAGTGGCCAGGATTCAACCCCTGGCATCAAACACTCAGGCTCATGGCCCTTGGACGAGTGTCCAGTCTCTCCAAAGCCCCATTTTGTCTCGGCAAACATCGCCTGCTTCCTGAGTTGCTGTGAAGCTTGAGTGATCTTTATCAATGTCTGAAATATTGCAGGGTACCTACTGATAGGTATTAGAACACATCAAACTTCTATACATCCTTCAAAACCCAGCTTCGATGTCCCCTCTTCCAAGAAGCCTACCTGGCTCCTACCACTTAAAGCCCTGGCTCCGCCTCTGGCCTCTCCAAGCCCTGAACCCCTCCTTTGGTCCCATGCAGGCCCCCAGGGGCTGCAGAGTTGGGGTTCTGGGTGTTGAGAGCAGCGTTTTAGACCTTTCTATGATGTAAACTGACCACGGGTGAATGGACACGCACGTGTGATGCTGACAGCTCTTGGTGCCACAGAGATTTACTGGCAAGTAGGCAGCGGGTGGGCGGGAGCGGAGGGGCTCTGGGCTGCTCCCAGCCTGGTTTGGGGCTGGGACCAGGGCAGGCAGCTGCGCTTCCATGAGAAGCGGGGAAGGGCCCAAGTTTGGCAGAAACCTGAGCTGTGTCGGGGACCCAGGCCTCAGCAGCGTGGACAGCGAGTTCTAGGACACAGGAAGCTCCGTCTCCGGCCAGCCACTGGGGAGGGCCAGGGGTGTCCCTTTCTCCTCCTGGCCTGGCTTGGCCCGGCGTGGCCAGGAGAGAAGAAACTGGGGCGCTGGACGGAGGCTCACCCCGCACAGGACCGCGGGGTCACAGCCCGGGGGCTGGAGGAAGCAGGTGGCCTAGAAGGGCCTCAACATTTCAGAAAAGGGGGAAGGAAGGAGACACCCCCTGCCCCCGGCTTCTCCAAGCCCCGCTTCAGCCAAAGCCAGGCCCGGAGGGGCCTGCCGACGCCCCACCTCTCAGTGTGGGACAACCGAGGCCCGGCCCAGGCCCTGTCCGCAGGTGTCTGTGGCCATGGTGGTGGCCCGTTTGGAGTGCCGGATGCCCATGGAAAATGCCGGGGCCCGGGCCTTGGTCACAGTGACCCCCTCGGGGCTGTGGGTGCCAGGGCCGGGCGTCTCATTCCGGGGGCGGGGGGCACGCGGCCGCCCCAGCAGGGTGAAGGCGGGCGGGCGTTGGCGGTAGGCATTGGGGTCTGGGCTGTCGTACTGGCCAGGACCTGGTGACTCAGCGGGATCCTGTGGGGGGCGGGCAGGGGGTGTGCGGCCCAGCACCGTGTAGCTAGGGCTGCTGGGCTTGATGAAGACCTGGGAGCCCCAGAGTGGAGGCAGGGTGTAGGCGTTGGGGGCAGGAACCGAGGTGTCCAGGGGCCGCGGGCGCAGGCGGGAGCCCAGGGTGAAAGCTGGGGGAGTCCGCTGGTGCATGGGGGCCGCCTTCTCGGGGCTGTAGGCCCCAGGGCCCGGCGTCACCTCCAGACCTGTGCGAATGGAGGACGGTGGGCCATGGACAGAGTCCTCTCCTGCCGAGGGCCGTGCGTGGCCCCCCGTGGCCCATGCACACCCCAGAGCTCACGACACTTCTGCCCTCCACTCCCCCCCACAACCTGTTCCCTCTCGACTCTCCGGGCTGTGGCCCAAGCCCAGTCCTCTGCCAGCCCCCCGCCCCCGCCCCATTCTCCACTCCGACCTCCTGAGCTGCTTCTCGCCCTTCTAGACAGCCCCAAAGTCCCCTCCTCCCTGCTGGCTTCCCCACACCCTCCTTCTAGGCAGCCCCTTCATGGGATCCCCCTGCCTGGGTGTTCCCCTCTATCCAGACATGGCTACGCTGAAATGGGATGGTCCCTACCTGGGTCTGACTCCACCACCATCCTGGGGTCTCATTAAAAGCAAGGACTTGTACGTCTATTTCAACTCCCAGCAGTGGCCTAAGACACATTCGACTGGATGGGTAAGTGGAAGGGAAGGTAGTGAATAGGTGGGTGAGGAGTGAATGAGTAGATGGATGGATCCATGGATGGACAGATGGATGATGGATGGATGGATGATGGATGATGGATGATGGATGGATGGATGATGGATGATGGATGATGGATGGATGGATGATGGATGATGGATGATGGATGGATGGATGATGGATGATGGATGATGGATGGATGGATGATGGATGATGGATGATGGATGGATGGATGATGGATGATGGATGATGGATGGATGGATGATGGATGATGGATGATGGATGGATGGACGGATGGATGGATAGATGATGGATGATGGATGGATGAACGGATGGATCGTGGATGATGGATGGATGAACGGATGGATGGTGGATGATGGATGGATGAACGGATGGATGGATGATGGATAATGGATGGATGGATGGATGGATAGATGATGGATGGTGGACGGATGGATGATGGATGATGGATGATGGATGGATGGACGGATGGACGGATGGATGATGGATGGATAGATGGATGATGGATGGATGGATGGATGGTGGATGGATGGATGGATGGATGATGGATGGATGGATGGGTGGATGGGTGATGGATGGATGGGTGATGGATGGGTGGATCAGTGGATCAATGAATGGACAGGATGATGAACAGGTGGTTAGGTGGGTATGTTGGTGAGTAGATAGAGGGGCGAACGGATGGATGGATGAATTGATGAGTCAGTGAGTGGACGAGTAGATGGATGATAGGTGGAAAGAGAAGTATGGATGGATGGGAGACTGGAATCAGGTGATTAAGTCAGGTGCTCGCTGCCTGGGAGGGGGACTTCCGCATCTGCCACCGCCCCCTCTGCGCCCTGCTGTCTCCTGGCTGAGCCCTGAGGACGAGCCCTGGCCGCCCGCGTGGCACCACGCGAGCACAGTGTCGCCGTCACCCGACATGCTTCGCTCATTTAGGGTCCTTCAGGGTCCCGGCCCCGCCTCTGAGCTCTTGGGGTTCATCATTCCGAGAACGTGGGGATGGGAGGGAAGGAGGGGACAGAGGCAGGAGAGTCGCCGAGCCCCCAAAAGGGCAGGGTCCCGGGGGCAGCACAGAGCAGACACTCACCCCGAGACTTGCCCCGGCCCTGTATGGAGTAGGCAGGGGTGCAGCTCCGGCCAAACCGGGTGACTTTGGGGTCCAGGAAGTAGACCGGCCCAGGGCTGGCGTCCAGCGGAGGTGCTGAGGAAGAGGAGCCGGTGCTGGGGACACGTGCGACGGCCCCACTGCCCCCCTGCCCCTGCCGAGGGCTCCTGGTGGCCCCGAGGTTCTCCGCCCTCGACGGCCCTCAGCCTGCCGAGGTGTGACTGCCCTGCCCAGGGGCCCGGAGGGTCTCCGCTTTGACTTTGTCCTGACGAGTGCTCTGTGCCCTCCTGCTCAAAGCTGCCTCTCGTGTGCCTCGAGCGATGCTCTGAGACCGCGGAGCCTCCGTGAGCTCTGTCGCTGTCTACGCTGCCTTTTCCTCAGTAGCTGGATGAGAGCATTAAAAAGTGTGACCGTCCATGGGAGGGGGTGGCCCAGAGCCTGGAACTTAATACTCGGGGCCCGTGACTGTGATTGTGACGGCTACTTTGGAAAAGCACAGGCAAGTATGAATGGACAGCAGGTTGAACGAGTGTCCACTGGTGTACGTGTGAACATGCATGTGCACACACATGACGCCGGGGACACACGTGAAGCATGTTCATGACAGATGAGCACATCCCAACCCATCTCACTTCTCAGCTCCAGGCCTCTGCTCTGCCGCAAGCTCCGCCTGGAGCACCCTCCTTTCCCGGGGCTTCCGCCAAACCCCGACTCATCCTGCAGAGCCCGGACCCCTGCCTCCACCTCCAGGAAGTCCCTGAGCATGCTGCACTGTCTGCGCTCAGCACCTCACCGACTCCACAGGCGTGTCCTGTGACTAGGGGTAGAACCTGGAGCTCAGGTCGCTCTGGGCCACGGGCTAAGGTCTTACCCCTCCCTGGGGCCAGGTGTGATGCTGATTCCCTCAGGGGCCTTCTGCCCCGGCCCTGCTGCTCCCTGAACTCTGGCCCAGCCTGGTTTGGGATTTTTGTTGTCTTGAAGGAGGCTCTGCCAGCCGCCCCCTCCCAACAAGCCTTTGTCCGCACGAATCAAAACCCTCACATGGCCCCCGACCCCGGCCCACTCAGGACCTCAGAGCGGCTCTAGAAAACGTGGCAGGGTCTGCGGGCACCACGCACAGGGTGCAGACTCGCAGATGGCAGAAGCGACAGCTGACTGTGGCCATGCACTTGGGGCTCGCTCAGCCCCGCTGCTCGCGTGCCAGCCGGGAGGTCACCCGTTAACCGGGCGCCCCCCACCTGCCTATCCAAACGACAGAGCTTTCCTTGTGGTGGGCAGGGCCTGGGAGCCTCGGCTTGGTGGGGACCCCGAGGCTGGCACTCGCTCTCCAAGGCCACTCTGCTGAGCCCTGGCCAGGCTCCCGGCATCCTAGCTACTTTTACTGCTTAACGAACGGCTCCAAGGACCTGGCGCCCACACAGTCCTGACAGCTGTGCGAAGGACATGCTGTCACTGCTTACAGAGGAGGAAACCGAGGCACGGAGCAGCCAAGCAGCAAGAAAAGTGCCAAGTGTGGATGGCAAACGGGGGCCCACCCTCCGCTCCGTGCCCCTTCCATTCTGTTCCTCAGGGGAAAACAGAGGATGAGGCCACGCAGCAATCCGGGGGGTAAGCAGCCCCCCGCCATAGGGCCTGGCTCCATCAGGGAGGAGATGCTCCTGGCGAAGGCTGGAAGCCCAGGAGGCCCCCAGAGGCCCTCTGCCACCCCCGCCCCGGCCCGGCTTACCCTCGCTGGGCCTTCGGAACAGTGAGTAGGCAGGACCAGCCACCCTGGTGCAGTCATGGTTGATGTAGCCGACGGTGGACGGCAGGACGTACAAGCCTGGCCCAGAGCCTGCGACAAAAGCCCTCAGGTCATAGCCCAAGGTGAGGTCCCCTGAAACCTAGAGCCCGGCCCCTGAGCCCCCACCCAGGCCCCCAGTCACCCTCCACGGCAGGGAGGGGAGAGCAGGACGGGCATTGTGAGCCGAGCGTGAATCATGGGGAGGGGCCCGGGGCCAGTAGCCTCCTCCTGCCTGAGGGCATGCAGGTCGACTGAGGCCCAGACGCAGAGACACACTGTCGCAGGTGGAGAAACTGAGGCCCAGACGCAGAGACACAGTCGCGGTTGCAATGTCTGGTGGCCTCTGCAAGAATGTCAGTGCCACAGAGCCGACTCCAGACATCTTGTTACAGACAGGGAAACTGAGGCACCGGCCGGCGCCCTAACCGAGACCCCGCAGTTAATGTCAGAGTCGGAACGCTCGGCTCACTGACCCGTACACCAACAGACTCTGTCTACTAGTTTCCTGGCGTCTGTCACCACGGCCTGCGGACGCTCCGTCCACTGCTGTGGCCCATTCTCGTCGGGTGGGGGCGCAGGCAGGAGCCACAGAAACGCGATGCTTGCACCCACCCTACTGGGGGAGCGTGCAGACCCCTCGGAGGCTCCCGGAAAGGGTCCCACCACCATGCCCCTCCCCCACAGCCAGCACGTACCGTCCCCTAAGGTGGCCAACCCACAGGTTTTTCTCAGGCCAGTCTCCGGAATCTGGCACTCCGTGGCCCTCCGGCCCAGAGGCGCCGTGGTCAGCCGTGGAGCAGGGTCACATCTGAGGGTCCCCATGGTGACCAGGGGAGGGACCGCAGGGAGCACAGGGCTGGGCAGCACCCACAGCTGGTGCGGTTCCCGCTGCCACAGCCGCTCTGGGCCACGGGTGCCAGTGCCGTCCCCAGTCCTCGAGGCTTCTGCCGGTGTTGGCAGAGCCCTGGGCTCGCCACACCCTCCTGGTGGCCGCACAGACGGCCCCTTGTCCCTCCGCTGGCCCAAGCAGGCTGGTTGGTGGACGCTGGCCTAGGAGCGAGGCCGGGATCGAGTATCGGCCAAATGGCTGGACAGTCCAGGAAAGAATCCGGTGTCAGCAGAGCAGGTCCCCTGGGAGCCGGCCGAGCTGGGCAGCCGGGGCCAGAGCCGGCCCCAGGGAGCTGGAGCCACAAATACGACACCCACAGCCTTGTAGCAGGAGGGACTGTGAGGTCACGGCCAGCGTGGCCCCATTTCTGCAGCCGCAGGTCACACAGCAAGTTCCACTCTGGGCCGAGAAGCCTTCCCCCTTTCCTTCCTGCCTGCCTTCCTTCCTTCTTCCCTCCAATAAGCATTTATTGAGCACTGACTGTGTACTAGGTTCTGTTGAGTTGGTGGGGACGCAACAGGACAGGCAGACGAGGAGCTGATGTTCTCGAGAGGAGAAAGAAATAAGCAACAAATTAACAAGCGAGCACCGCGGATTAGAAGGTGTATCACGTGCTGTCAAACACAGAGCGGGGCCGGGAGCCCAGGCTGGCAACACGGGGGCTGGCGAGTGTTCGTTAGGGTGGGGTGAGGGCCCCGCCTGCACCACCGGCTGTGCCGTGCCAGGCTCCCAGGCGGGGCTCAGGGAAACCGGCTGCACAGAATTCGAGTTCCTGTCTCTTCCACGGTCTCCGTGTCCACTGCTGCATTGTGGGGCCCTTCCACACTATGATTTTTAACATCCTTATTGAGTTATAATTCACATGCCGGACACTCAACTCCGCGAGGTAGTTTGAACGCATTCTTTAACCTCTTAACCGAAACGTGTTAGTCTATGTAAAAGGTCACCGACTGAATCTGAAATGCTCTTATTAGAAAAGAAGAAAAATCTTAAAATCGATGACCTAAGGTTCCACCTTAAACATTTAGACAAAGAAGAAAAGTGGCAGGAAGGAGATGAAAAACAGTGGAAACGCATAAAATAGAAAACTAGGGGTAGAGTTAGCATAAGCCTCCCCCCAATAAAAAAACTTATTCTTGAAAATAATCAACAAATTTGATAAAGTTCTAGCCAGACCGATCAAGACACACGAGAGGAAGACACAAACCAGCGACGTCAGGAATGCGAGGGCGAGCGTGCGACGTCATCTGTTTGACAGTCACAGCATCTCGGCGAGGGAGGCGCCGTACCTAACCTTGCCTGTGGCTTCCAGGTGGGGAAACTGAGGCTCAGGGAGCAGAAGTGACGTGCGCGGGTCCCTCGGTAACTCATCGGCAGAGCCGGGACTTGAACCCGGGACCCTGTGACTCCGATTTTAATCAAAGCTAAGGGTCATGGGCTTCTCCCAGGTTCCAACCCCAGCTCAGCTTTCCGGGAGAGCTGAAAATCCGCGGTGGATTCCTACCGCCCCGCGGAGAAAAGCCAGGCCCTCGGGGTCACACGAAGCTCCCTTGTCCCCTCTGCCCTTGCCCACACCCCTCAATCGCTCTCTCCATTCCGGCCACGTCAGCTGGCTGGCTGTCCCTTGAGTCACTAAGACAGTTCCCACCTCAGGGCCTTCACCTACCCTCCCTCCACCTGCGAGCCTTGGCCAGCTAATGAGCCCACGGTGGGCTCCGCCCTCAGGCACCTGTGGATCCCCAACATTGGAGGAGCCATTTGCTTTTTTCCAGAAGCAGCAGACACTCCAGAGCTTCACTGGGGAGGGACGTGACAAATACCCCCACCTGTCTCTCTTCCCATTGATCGAAACTGGCCAGAAGTGCAGGAGCCCAGGGAACCCCCACTGAGGTCCATGACAAATACCCCACCTGTCTCTCTTCCCATCGATCGAAACTGGCCAGAAGTGCAGAAGCCCAGGGAACCCCCACTGAGGTCAGCCAGGAACAGGGAAGACAGGGGCCCTGTGGACGGCGTTCCCGGAACCCAGCCCAGCCCACAGCCAGGCTCCCAACCCAGAGACAGCGGCCTGCCATGGACTGGAGACCACTGGGGACACCACTTCCAGCCCGGACTCGGCCCTGACTGCCTCAGTTCCCCATTGTGACTTGGGAAGGAACCAAGAGCTAACGCAGGGTGGGACCGGATTGGAGTGGCCATCTGAGCCTGTGGAGCATGGCTGTGAGGACCTCGGAGCCGGCCATCGCCCAGACCGAGCTCAGGCCCCTGCGGCCCACGAGTCCCTCCCAGCTTCTCTCTGTGACTCTCCTTCGGCTCAGAGCTGTTCCCAACTACCAAGTAAACGACATGTAAATGAGATGTTAATTCATTGAAAGCGCATGCAAATAAGCATGGCTTTAATGCAATCTTCATTGACAGGAGAGAGCAGATGGAAAGAATGGAAGAGGAGCCGAGATGGGGAGTGAGAGCGGAAGGCTCCCGCCCCAGCACGCAGGGAGGGACGTCGCCTCCCCAGGCCTCAGGGTCCTGAGGGATCCATATAAGCGATGCCCCGTGAGTCACAGCCCTAACCCTGCTTATCTGTCCAGCCAGTTGGATCTGTGCACTCCAGGCACGACGGGCGCTGGGAACAAAACACACAGTCCCTTCTTCACGTTTTCGTCGAGACAGGTGGACAAGTGAGTGCGTTTCGCTGCTCCTTTAGATGGCGCTAGGGCGGCACAGCAGGTGCAAAGGCCCTGAGGCCACATGGAGCCTGGCGTGTCCGGGAACCGGGAAGGAAGCCTGTGCGGCTGGAGCGGAAGGAGTGAGGGGGCCAGAAGGAGGCGTGACAGCAGGGAGGGGACAGGGCAGACCGTGCAGGGTCCCGTGGGCGCGGGAGGACTTGGGCTTTTACCCCCAGGGATGTGGGAGCCTTGGAGGGCGGCGGGCGGAGCCGGACCTGCGGGCTCGGGGCTCACGGGCGCCCTCTGGTGGCTCCAGGGAAGAATGACTGGACCGTGGGCGGCGCGGGAAACCCGGAGACCAGCAAGGAGCGCGGGCGGACGGCGGGCTCCACCCAGGCGCAGGGGAAGGAGCGGGCCGAGAAGTCGGTGGGTTCTGCGTTTCTTTCTCAACTGGAGACGGCAGGGTTTGCGGAAGACTTGACATGGGGACTGAGGGAACTAGGGGTGTCGAGGCAGCCTCCAGGATTGGGCCTGAGACCCTGCAGGGTGCAGCTGCGGTGAGGAGAAGATGCTACCGGCAGGTTTGGGGCGCTCAAGAAAGAGCTCACTCTTGGAACTGTGAGCTCTTTTAGTGACTCTTAGTGACTCTTAGTGTCTTAGTGACTCTTGGGGCTCCGGTGGGAAGTGCATGTGGACACCGGCGGGCAGCCAGCCGTTCAGGACTGGGTTGTCGGTTGTCGCGCCGCGTGACAAACTCCCCCGAACGCAGTTGCTTCAAACAACACACGCGTTTATTATCTCCGAGTTCCCGAGGGCCGCGGAGCCGGGTCGTGTGCTCAGGCTGTGCTGACGGTGTCGGTCTGCGCTCGGGGGCTCATCGGCAGGATGGACTGGGGAGGGAGCTGCTCTGAGCTCCCCCAGGTCTGGCAGGATTGATTTCCTGGGTATAGGACTGGGAGTGGAAGCCACTCTTAGCTCTGGCCACGTGGCCTCTCATCAGAGTGAGGTGGGGGCCAGAGGAGGTTTGGGGACAGAGGAGGGGCGCCGACATGTGTGACAAAAAAAGCCGTCAGAAGAGCCGGCGTATTCTTTAGTTGTTTGCTCTCCATTTCTCCCGAGCTCCTCCGTGTGGCCCGCAAGCACACGCGTGCACACACGCACACCGCAGCAAGCGGCTGCAAATGCCCCCGTGTCCTGAGGGTCCAGGACGTGGCTTGCCCGTGGCAGGTGCACGACACACATCTGCTGAAGAGAGAGGGGAAGGAGCGCCCCGGTCCCGGTTGGGGCTGCCACTGAGCTGAGTTCCCACCACACTTTCTAAAGCCGCTGGGGTTGGGGGGGCGGGGGGAGCGTAGAGAGTGAGAACGCGCCTCTGAGGCTGGGTGCACTGCACGACCGGCTGTTTCCTGTCCCCAACGCAGGAGCGGCGGCAGGCCAGGTGTTCACAGGAGCCGCTGCCCCCATCCAGGGTCAGCTCACACTCTGCCCTTGCAGCTGCCAAGATCTGTCACTCCCTACTTCCCCAGGGCCTCGGAACTGTCCCTTGTCCAGTGGCCAGCCCCCTGACTCACACTCACGCGCCTCCACGGCCGCCTGCCCCTTTGTTCGGCAGGGCCTCGAACAAGGAAGCCTTGTTCTTCTCGGAGGAGAAGAATGCGGGGAGCCGGCCAGGCTCCCCATCTGCCTCTCCCGGAAATCGCTGGCTCTCCACACGGGACGGAGCAGGGACGGGCCCAGCTCTCTGTTCTGCTGGGAACCCAGCTGCACATCCGCCGAGTCCCCCGTTTTATAGATGAGAACATTGAGGTTCAGAGGAAGGAAGACCTGGTATTCAGGGGCCAGGGGTGTGGCTGGAGAGGGGTCCCAGCAGCCTTCCCCGGAGCCCACAAAGCCCTACTTGGGAAGGTCCTTTCTCCTCTCTCTGGCTTCATCCACCCCCTGGTGCAGCCCCCCCTGCCCCCCTTGCTTTTCTGGAGCCCACCGGGCAGCTCCGGCCTCAGCACCTTTGAGCTCACTGTACCTTGTACCTGGCTCGCCCTTTCCCACGTGGACGATGCGTGCTGAGGCATGGCCCCCCAAGGCTCTGCTCGAGCCTCCGCATCCCAGCGAGTCTCCCTCCCATCACCCAGTTTACTCCATGCCACGCTGCCAGTCCCCCTCCCGTCTCCCGTTTCTTTGCCCCCACGGTGCGTATCGCCGGCTAATGCGGTGGGGCGCTCACCCGTTGCACAGTGACGAGCTGCAGTTTGCAAGGGCTGTTAAGTCTGCAGTTTCGTGAGCTGGCCGATGTCCCACTGGTAGCTCGAAATCAACCATAGCAGGAGTGTTTACACCACGGGAACCAGCCGCCCTGCGGAGTGGGGGAGCCCGACCCTCAACAGACATTTACAGGGACGCGGCTGCCTGCTTATTGCGCATAGTGCTGAGGGACGGGTTCCCCACCCCATTAGAGCGCGAGCTCCTCGGGCAGGGGTCTGTCCATCTTGCTCTTGGCCACGGGTAGGCATGCAATAAACATCTGTTGAATTCAAGAGTAACCCTCATTCCTAGCAACTGTTCAGACTATGACAGAGGGACTCCCGTGACAAAACCGCCCCTCAACACGCCCTGGGCTCTAGCGCCATCATGCCAGTCCCCAGAAACGTCCTCCCACACCTAGATGTGCCAGTCCAGTTACCTAGCACCTTGACCCCAAATCAGGCATTAAGACCCTGGCCGCCTTAGTAACATGACTCCGTCGCAGCAACACGACCCTCGTCGTCCTGATCCCAGCCCCCTAGCAACTCGAGGTGCCATAGCAACTCCTGGTGTCACGATCCAAGCCCTGGGGGTGACAGCAGGAACACTGTGGCCTCGGTCTCCGGTCCCAGCGACGTTCCTTGGTGCGTTCATTCAACACCAATGCCTTGAGCGGCTGCTGCCGTCCGAGTTCAGGGATACAGGACCATGCAGGCTGTTTCGCGGGTTCCCGGTGACCTGCCCCTGTCCCTGGTCCTGGACAATGCAATGCATTTAGAGAACTGAGGGACGGGGAATTGTTTTAAAGAAGCTCGACGTCCTCGTCATTCGCACGAGTGGACGGGAAGCCCCGGGACGCGCAGCTCCTCACGCACGTTCCCCGGGCTACCGACTCAGGTCCCGCAGGGTTGAGATGTCCCGAGAGGCGAGTCGGAGGCTCGGGGCTAGAGAGGCCCTGCGGCGCGCGCGGCCTCGTGGGAAACGCAGCCCCGGGCCGCGGACCCCCGGCCCCCGAGGCATGTTGGGAGTTGTAGTCCGGCAGGCGCGGGGCGCAGAAGCTGCAGGGACTTTGGGCGGAGCCGGTGCGCCCGCAGAGACCGACCCCGGCCCGGGTTTGCCAACCGCGGCGGGAGTCGCAGCCGGGGCCGGAGCATCCCCAGCGGCGCCGGGCTGCAGGATGCGAGCACTACGCAGGGCCGAGCGGAGCTGGGTGCGGCGGCCGGGGCACCCTGACTAGCAAGAAGAAGCGGATGAACCGCAGCGTCCAGCTGGCCAAGAAGATCGTCCCCAAGGATGGCGCGGCCATGAGTACCCGAGCGCCGGTCCGACCCAGGACCCCGCCCCTGTCCCCGCCCGGACCGTGCGGAGCACCCACCGCCCATCTGGACAAGCCGAGGCTGCCAGTCTCTGCCTTAGAAGCTGAACCTGGGCCCCATTCCCTACCCAGGACCCCCAAACCCAGCCCAGTCCACCCAGGCCCCTTCTCTAGACAGTCAGGCACAGTCCTGCAACCCCGTTTCCCCACCCTCCCTGCAGAAGCACCCCCCAACTCCACCTTGATTGGCTCAGAGATTGGCCCCATCTCATCACCCAGTCCTGGGTGCCAGGCTCGAAGCTGCCCAAGCCCTTGGTGCAGACCCTCCGCTTGAAAGAAGTTCCTTGGGCAGAGAACTTCCCTGAGGAGTCTGGCCTGGGTGCTGATGGTGACCTCCAGCCCCTCTCCTGCTACAGTCAGGCGGACTTGATTCTTCCAAGCCCTCCACCAGCCGCCCCTCCCACCCAGGGGTTCCCGACCTTCGACGTTCCCAGCTGGCATTTGGGCCTGACTTCTCTGGGCATTGCTGGGTGTTGAGCAGCATCCCTGGCCCCCACAGATGCCAGGAGCACCCCCAGTTATGGCAACCACGGATGTCCCTTAGACATCACCAGTGTCCATCAGGGAGTGGGAAAGCTCACCCCCAGGTGAGAACCACCATCTCGGCCCCTTAAAACAGCCTGGGGTGAAGTGGAGAGGGGAGCTCACCACCCGACGAGAGAATATGTCCATTCTGTGCCCCAAACGGGCCACAAACCCAGCCAGGGCCAGAGCCCCATGCCCACCAGAAATGGAATCGGAGCTGAGCAGGTCACTTAAATCCCCCAGCAGCCACATCGAAACACAGAGGAAATGCGGGGCACAAATAAAATAATGAGTTTTATAACATATAAAGTACAATGTACTTTATTTAACCAGTGTTAGCCCCAGGCTCCAAATCAGCTCTCACCAACACGTGCCTCCCTGTCCTGTGGAGCAGGTGAGGGGCCTGGGCGCCCTCAGAGACTCCCACCCTTCCCCGTCCACCGCCCTCAGGGTTGCCAGCCTGAGCCTTTCGCCCTGGGTGGAGGGCGAGCCGCAGCCCCCGGGGAGGCCAGTTGTCTGAACTGGATGTCACATATCAAAGTGTCCACTTCCCCGGACACTCCTCATGACAAATCTCAGGCCCTTGGGAAGCCTGCGGGCCATGCGGCATGCAGACCGCCGGCTTCGACAGCTCTGGGACAGCCACCCGCCACCTGTTTCGCCAAACTTGGGTTCAGCTTTGCAGACAGACATTTATCGAGTAACAGTGTCTTCACAGGCACTCTGCGGTAGTTGTGGTAGATATCCTGGTATCACCCCTCCGGCCATGCCACCTTGGCCTAGCTCAGCCAGGTGATTTCAGGGGCCGGTGGGGGATCAGAAGCCTGATGGACTAGAGGAGCAATCCCCGCCTTCTGAGGGGTTATCTGTTAATTGGCCAGGCGCAGCCTCCCACCATCCCCGAGACCCACGGAGGCAGGGCATGGCCCTGGGGGGCAGCGCTCAGGCTCACAGCCTGGGCCTGAGGTCCTCCAGCACCACAGCTGGGTGGGGTACCCGACGGGGGTCACGAATAAGCCAGCCCATCCCTAAGAAAGAGCCACAATGCCCCAACTGACCAGTGGTGTGAGTGAGGGGAACTTGCCCAGCCGGCTGTGAAGGGGGCCCCTGAAGGGAACGGGCGTTTCCTGAGGCTCCCTCGCCTGGGCACCCTCCTGGGCCCGCGTCCCCTGCGGAGACCGGTGCTGTCATGGGAAGGTGCACCCGGAGATCCAGGATGTCTGGTGCTGGAGTGGGGGCTGGGACCCTCTATGGGAAGAAAGCTTCCTGCCAAGGCCGCTGAGGACTTCCTCCCGGGTGGGGACAATGCCGGGAAGGGGGATCGGAGGGCAGACTGTGCAGGAAGCCCGGGCTGGGGGCGGGGGGCGCAGAACGAGGACCTCAGCGCCCCCCTCCCCCGCCACGACTCCCATGGGCTCAGCTTCCCAGGGACAAGACCACACATCTCGGGGACGGGAAATCGGTTCAGGCCATCCCTATCGCTGGCCGCAGGCTCCCGGGGTCCCTCTGCCCCACTCTGGGTTCCACCGGACCCTTCCCCCAGGCCCGTTGCTCCCTTCCTGCCCTCGGTCCCTCTCCTCTCTCTCCAGCCACCCTCTCCCTCCGCCAGACTCCACCTCTGCCCAGAACCTTCTTCATACACTCACTCATCATCTGCCCTGTCCTCAGGGGGCCGCCACTGACCCCCCCCATTCCAGATCACAGAGTTCTTGGTGCTCTCCCAGCGCTGTGGGCGTGACTGGGCAGGTTCACTTGTCACTCACGCGGGCAGAGCTCAGATCTGGGAGCCTGAAGTGGGCGAGTGGAAGGCAGGGCGCCGAAAGCTGGGTCACGCCCGCCAAAGGGCCTCTGCTGGGAGGGCAGCAGGAAGCGGGGTCAGGGGCTGGGAAGAGGCCCATTCACTAGGCCCGCCGCCCCCCACCCGGGTTAAGGGCCCAGCTTCCCGGGAAGGGCCCGTACCTCCGGCCAGCGGCGGTCACAGTTTGGAGCCCACCTTCCTGTGCGGCCTTTCCCGGCACTGCGGAGGAGGGGGTGGGGCCAAGGTTCGGGACTTCGGGCTCCCGCTCCTGGGCCCTCCCCTCCCCCCGTGAGGCCTCTCTCTGCTCTTCTGCTCCCAGCCCCTCTGAGCCTCAGTTTCCCCCCTCTGCTCCCAGCCTCTCCTCTTGGATCTTAGCTTTTGCCTCTGAGAGGCTGAGGAGAGGCAGACAGACAGGGTGATGGGGCTCAGAAATCCATCGCCCCGCTGCTCCCGGCAAACTGAGGCTCAGGCCACACCCTGAGGTTAAGGGGGGCAAACCAGGGTGCCCCCATCCTTTCCCTCCGGTGTGCCTGCTGTGATGGGGCCTGGGGCCACAGCGGGGCCACAGCAGACAGCATCCCCCTAGTCCAGGGGACTTGTGACTCCAGCTACACGACCTGGACCTCGCTAAGGGCCGCGAGGGAAGTGCGTCAGGACAAAGTGACACAGGGTGGGGGGGGGGCGGTGGGAAGGCGTCTGAGAACTCTGAGCAGGGCGAGGGCACAGCCACGCAAAGGCCCTGAGGCTGCCCGACCCCCAGGGCTTCAGCCAGTGAGGAGTCGAGTGTGTTCTCTTCTGCCACAGGCAGCCTTGGGGTACACGGGCTCGGAAGGGTGTTTCTAAAACCGCCTGGAGCAGACAAGGGAACTGAGACCAGGCGGGGACACCAAGGAGAGGGTGGAGGATGCGTCCACAGGAGGTGGGTCCACAGATGCGGTTTCTCAGGACTTCGAGTGTGTTCTCTTCTGCCACAGGCAGCCTTGGGGTACACGGGCTCGGAAGGGTGTTTCTAAAACCGCCTGGAGCAGAAGACAAGGGAACTGAGACCAGGCGGGGACACCAAGGAGAGGGTGGAGGATGCAGGAGGTGGGTCCACAGATGCGGTTTCTCAGGACTGGCCCACGACTGTGGCGGTGGGGAGCCGGGCCAGGTCCCTTCCCAGCCCTCTCCTGTGGACGCCAGACCCAGGTCCCCCGTGGAACAGAGCATGGAGTCAGCCCCTGCCCCCTCACCCTGCCCCCAGGCTTCCCCCAGCCTGCCCGTGTGACTGAGGGGAGACAAGGGCAGGGCCAGGTCGTGACATGTCCCAAGCACTGGTGGACCTCAGCCCCGGCACCTGGGGGAGAACCCCGCACCGCCCAGAGCTGGAAGGCAGCGGCTCTCTGCAGCCCACGCACTGCCACGCAAGGCAGTGACAGCCGAGGTCCCGCCCACAGGGTGCGCGCGGGGCGGGGAGGGGGGGCGCCCACTGCCGCCTCGTTCTGATTCCACTCCCTGCACCTCCACGGTCACCCCTTCTCCACCCTGTCTTCTGATCCTCCCGTCTCTGAAAGCGAGGCCTGGAATCCGGCCAGACCTTCCCGCCCGGTCCGCGTGGACCCTCCCACCTCTGGCCCCCAGTCCCTGCCTCTCTGTCGCCTCCAGGGTCGGGGGTCACGGCGGGAAACCCCCTTGGGAAACCCCCGGAGAGCAGCTGGGGGGCGGAGAAGCGGGGTCACGGCGGGGCGCCACCATTTAAGACACCTCCCTCGAGGGTGGGGGACAGAGCAGGGGACCTAGCATGGAGCGGGACCTCGCCCTCCTGCTTTTCTTCTTGGTGGGGCTCCTGCAACAAGGCCGCGGTGAGCGCGCGGAGCGGGGGTCCTGAGCCGCAAGCGGGGCTCTTCCAGGGGAGGGGGCGGGTGTGCAGGGGTTTGGCGAGGGGAGGCAGGAGGCTGGGAGGCTC